ATGCTCCACAAGATCTTCCCTTGGGACAGGAAGTGACACCTAGGCCGAGCCACAGCAACTTATTTCTTCTTTTGGTCTTACCCCAGAGATATATCCCAGACCTAAATGCCTAAAACCCAAGCCTCATAGGCCTGCAGAGCCGGAGAGGAATCCAGGTGTTGCTGATGCCCAAGAGCCCAAGTCAATGTCAAATCTAATCAGTGGGCCTCTGACCCTAGGGGCAGACAGGCAGACAGGGGCCCAGTAGCAGAGGATAGCTGAGAAAAATCTCATGCCAAGAATCCCAGCATTGCTGAAGATCGTGTCCTGACAGATCTAGGAGCCAGGAGACTCTGGGTCCAGGAAGGGGCAGAGGTCATTTGCAGAGCCTGCTTCAGAAAGGAAGTCAGTGCCCAATCATGTGACTATGGGCACCAGCCCCTTCAGGTCCACATCTGCCCTTGTGCCTCAGGTCCAGTGTAAGTGACATTCCCTCCTGGAATACTCCCTCTGGGATGCTGAGACCCATCCAGGAGGCCCATCTTCTGCCAGGTTGGGCAGGTGGAGGTATGAGGCTGGTGGCCACATTCTTTTTGCTAACCTACCTCATCAGCATTTTTAGTCAGTATCTGGTCAATTCACAGTTCTCAGAAACCCCAGCTTTGGGACTGGGACAGTCCCAGCCCCTGTCCCAAGCTGCCTCACCCACAAGCCTGGTCCAGCCCCAGCTCTGAAAGGGAGGCCGCAGCCATTACTGCAGCCTCAGCTCACACCCAGGGAGCTCATCTTCCTTTTTTTTTTTTTTTTGAGAGAGAGAGATTTTAACTCCTTCCCCACCTCTTCCCTGGCATTGAAGGATTCTTACAATCCACCTCAGTCCTGACTACCCAAAGACCTCAGAGCCACTCTCGCCCAATGTCCCCAACGGGGCAGCGCCCCTTACAACTCCACTCTGGTTGGGAGTACCTCCTCCTGCAACTTCTGAGTCAGGCAGAGACTCCAGACTCCCTCTGTGGTGCCATCCTCCCTGGACCCCCGTGTCCATCCTAGACACAGCAGGTCTTGGGGAGAGGTTGAGGAGGAGGAGTCTGGGCTTCAGCCAAGGGCCTCAGCTGACTCCTCCATCCCCAGGGGATACCCCCCCCCCAATAGTGCCGGGGCTTCAACTTCCGGCAAGAAGGGGTTAAGCCCTCAGGGTGGGGCTGGGTTTGCCCAGGCCCCCTTCCCAAGCCACTCAGTCGCCCCGTCCCGTGACCCTCTACAACCGGGGCAGGAAGGCCCGGGGACTTTCGCCCCGTCATGCCCAGAGGAGACCGGTCTCAGCCGACAGAGGATCCATTCTGCCTCAAGACTCCCTCGATGCCTCCAGCCCCGGGGCGCTAGTCCGGTCTCTTCAACCCTTTCCCTCACCCTCAGCCATGCCATCCCGGCCGAGGCTAGAGGGCGAGTGGCGCGCCACCAGATTCCTCCACTGGCCGTACTAGGCCCCAAGCGCCCGGGGCCGGCTCCTCCCCCGCCCGGCGCCCGGCCGTGCCCGGCTATGCCAGGCAGCGACCCGGGATCACTAGGGCGCGGCGCGGGCGGAGACAGGCCAGATCTGCGGCCCGCACCCCGGGCCTGCGTCCCGCGTCCAGCACCCTCTTACCGCGATCACGTTGACGAAGGTGGTCTTGCCCGAGTACTGCAGCCCGACCAGCGTGAGCTCCATCTCCTCCTTCCAGAACAGGGCCTTGAACCAGTCCAGCAGCTTGTTGAACAAAGCGATCATGGTCGCTGCCGCCGGCTCCACCCGGTGCCGGGTCCCAGCCGCCCCTCGCTGCCCTAGCGCTGCGGCCCGGAGCGGCCCCTCCCCGGTGCAGCCCGGGTCCCGCTGCTCGGTGCGGGCGGAGGCTTGAGAGCAGCGGCCGACGACTCGCTGCCCCCGAATCGGCTCGCTGATGGGTGTGGCTTCAGCGCCCTCCTCCTCCTCCGGCGCCGCCGCCGCCGCCCTCCAGCGCGGCCCGGCAGTGTCCTGCTCGCACCCGAGCGAGCGCGCGCTCCTCTCTCGCCCAGAGTCGGCGGCCGGGGTCAGCGCGGGATGGGCGGGGAACCTGCGGGCTTCAAGGATAAGAGTTGACTGGCAGCTGGCGTCGAGGGGCGCTTGGGGAATATAGAGTTTAATTTATTTTCCCTTCCCCTCTCCCTGGTTGCCTGGCTCTGACTGGCATCCCCTTTCCTAAAGGGTGGTGTAGTAGAGGTGGCTGGTTAAGCAGGAACGTTTCCAGGTTGAAAGAGGGTGGGTCACCCACTTCCTAGGACACTAAGATGAGAGCTCTATGAAAGGGAGGCAAACGGAGGCCTTTTGTTTCGGGAACATCTACCTCTGAGCACCCTTGGGCACACAGCCTATCCTCTCAAAAGGTGCCCAGCAGAGAGTAATAACCATATTGGGTCGTTTCCTACTCCATCTTGTTGTTAACCACAATTTACCTGGACCACTTGTTTAGGAAGCGCTGGCCTACAGTGAAATCGATGCTTTTATTGGATGCTGATTTTTACTAGCATCGCCATGATACTGAAACAGATAAAATCCAGGTGGGGGATTTCTGGTAACATTTGTGGCACAGGAACACGTTGCCCTATTGTAAAAAGCAAAGTTTACTTCAACAGGAGAACTGAGAGTAGTAGGTGGTGTAGGGCCTGTGGAGATGCCCTCCACCCTGCTCCTTCCTCTCTTCCCTGCCAGGAGCTGACCTTAGGGCTTGCTCAGTCAGCAGGCTGATCACCCCAGCTGGCTGTACCTTGCTAGTCCCCAGTCTATGCTGGATGTTCCTTAGGATTTGGTTTTCAAATGTACTCACACATACATTCTATTGTTTTAGTAAAAGGTGAATAAACTATTAATATCAATAATACCTGTCAATTCTATCCAAGAGTTAGACAACCCCAAATAATCAAACAGTTGCCAAAGTGGAGGAATCACAAGGTCTTGGACTAGTACAATATTCTGGTTTATTAAGCGCTATCTTTCTAGTCCCTGCCCCTTACGTAGGTCCCTTTTTAGTTTCTGAGGCACATGTTATGATCTGAGTTTGTGTCCACCCAAACTTCATATGCTGAAATCCTAATCTCCAAGGTAGTGGTATTAGGCAGTGATTAGGTCATGAGGGCCAGCCTTCATGAATGGGATTAGTGGCCTTATATAAAAGAGGGGAGGAGGGGAGAGAGAGAATGCTAGCTTATACCCCTTCTACCATGTAAGAACAGAGTGAAGACTCTGCCTATGAGCCAGAAAATAGGCCCTAACCAGACACTGAATAAGCAAGGGCCTTGATGTTGGACTTCCCAGGCTCCAGAACTGTGAGTAATAAATCTCTGTTGTTTATAAAGAGGCTCAGTTTGTGGTACTACATTTCGTTATAGAGGCCTGAGTGGAGTGTGACAGTACACCTGTCTCACTTCCTAAATTGACTTCAGTTTCACTTCGTTTGATGTCTCTGGAAATGCTAGAAAAGTGCATATCCCAGAGGTAAAGATTTGTAGCTTGTTCCTCATCCATGGAGACTTTACTCTCTATTGCTACAAAGAGGCCTCAGAGGCCTGAGAGGAAGATGGAAAGAAGGAATGAATCAGTGGTCTAAGAAGTCTTTATTTTCCCACTTGGTTTCTTTTGTAGAGCTTGTAGCCTCTGAGCTCAGAAACAGGGTCAGGGTGACAGTGCCACGAATGGGAGCCTTTGGGGCTATGCCGTTTCTTCCCTCCAGACTGGGTCTGAGCTCAGGGCAGGATCAGGCACTTGAGAGCCCTCCACCTATACACAGCAGTGCCTCTTGCAAGGTTTAAGGAAGGTGGAGGTGCAAGTGAGTCCATCCCCAGGGCTGCAACGAAGGAGGAGCTTCTCAGGAAGGCCAAGCAGAAGTATTAAGACAATCAAGCTCAGTTTTAGCACTGCAAGTTCTTCAGAAGAGGTGTCATGAGTACAGAGACCCAAATGTTTTCCAGGATTCAGTTCCTGGGGGGTTGCCACGGAGAACTGGTATCAGCCAGGGCAGAGCTCAGGGGTGGAGTGCCAGGAGAAACGGTGCCTTACATTCACCGCCATTTCAGAATAGGCACCTTTGTGCTGGATTCAAGGAGGATAAATCCTGGGGTGTGTAGTTCAGCCCTGAGATAGATCTGGGGTCACCTGGAAATTATGTTGATGCTGAGATGAACAAAGGGAGTTAGTTCTCTGGGGGAAATAGTGAGGGCTCCTAGTTCAGTTGAGCCTCCATGTCTGCATGAAGTGGTAATAACCCAGACTGCTTTTGGAAACAACTGAGCTCTTCAGGTGTACTCTGCAATTGCAGTTGTATGAAGGGTAGTGGTGGGGTTGGTTATCTAAAATCTGGCTGAGCTCTTTGTCTCGTCTTCTCCCTTCTTTCTTTGGTACTTCCTGCATGCCCAGGGTATTATGTGAGGTCGTGGAAGCAAAGCAGAGAATGATGGCCTACCCTAGAGAGTAGTTGGGGTGAGTGGCTGGCAATTACGGAGTCAGGGGGAGCTCTCTTGGCCCCTGACTAGTCCCTATACATTCCTTTTTCCAGACATCTCAACTTCCAGGCCTGGTTACCTCTGTAGCTTGCTCTCAGGATACATGGGTAGACACAAAGGTAATCCAAGTCCTTGTTCTCGTTGGTAGGGAAGTGGGGTCTAGCCCTCATATATGGAGGGGGATCAGAGAGTCACTGCTAGGATGCTGAGACTTTGAAGTCAGGACCAGACTTTTCCTCACTCTTGTATCTGGCCTGTGCTTGGGCTGGGCCCAGGTGGAGGGTGAGCGTGGAATCATCCTCTTGCCAGCCCCAGGAAGGAGATGCAGCTGGAATGGCTACTAGGAACTTGTCTGATTGCCTCTCCTTACGGCAGCAAAGCACTTTATGTCCATGTTATAGATGAGGAAACTGAAGCTCACAAACAGCATCTCAGAGAAGACCAGAATACCTGGGTTTCTTTTTTGTTGTAAGTGCCAGTTCCCATCTTTAAGTTCCAAGAGAAACAGGGGGCTCCCACTGTGGTCCATTTGGGGCCACTAGAGGAAGCAGAGGAGTGGCCAGTGGTGAAAACCTGGAGTCTGGCCCCTTGTCCTTGCTGGTACAGCAGCTCCCTGTGGCTGGAAATGCCCTGCATTCCTTCCCCTTGCCCACCCAGGGGGTACCACCAGATCATGCAGCCCCCTTTCCCCAGACCCACCTTCCCAGGGGTCAGATGGGGTAAGCACCTGGGCTGGTGGAGGTTGGTAGGGGTCAGGGACTAGGCTCCTCAGGCAGCTGGGCCGCATACAGGGCCAAAGTATGATGTAGGAACTGGTATTGCTCTGCGGTCTGGATCATACCCCCTCTGCAAGGAGAAACACAATAAACCATGAGTGAAGGAGGGTCAGGGTGCTTGCTGAATGGCTCAAGTCAAACATCCTTGTAGTCCCACTGGCAAAGTCCTGACTTTCTCTGAGAATATGCCACTTCTTCACATATACTCATTCTTTGTACTTCCTACTCCTCCTGCTGCCCCCCTGACCTTCTTTGAAGGAAGCCTTCTACCTCTCACTCAGGGCTGAGCCCTGTGGCTGGATGTGCCCAGGGGGAACTGTCTTCCCTGACCCATTCAGCTCCTGAGGCAAAGCCAGACCTCTGGTCCCTCGGTGGGGCTAGGAATATCCCTGAGCCCCAAGTTTCCCTCTTGCCAATATGAAAATCTCTCTAAATGTAGAATATAAATGTTTTAACACAATAACTAAGAGAAAAAGACATGAAGGCTATGTTAACCAGTTGGATAAAAGTATTTCAAATTGTATATAGAAACAGTACACTATACCCCATGATAGTATTAGTGTACACTGCTATGACTTAATAAAAAAAAATAGTGATTCTATACATTTGTAGAGTAGTCCTCGTTTCCAAAATACTTTCTTTCTTTTTTTTTTTTTTTTGAGACAGAGCCTCAAGCTGTCCCCTGGGTAGAGTGTTGTGGCATCATAGCTCACAGCAACCTCCAACTCCTGGGCTCAAGCGAGTCTCCTGCCTCAGCCTCCCAAGTAGCTAGGACTACAGGCGCCCGCCAGAACGCCCGGCCATTTTTTGGTTGCAGCCATCATTGTTGTTTGGTGGGCCCGGGCTGGAGATTTGAATCCACCACCTTAGGTGTATGTGGCTGGCGCCTTAGCCGCTTGAGCCACAGGCGCCGAGCCCCAAAATACTTTCATAGAAGTTTTGTTTTGTTATTTGAGACAGAGTCTCACTATGTTGCCCTCGGTAGAGTGCTATGATGTCACAGCTCACAGCAACCTCAATCTCTAGGGTTTAAGTGATTCTCTTGCCTCAGCCTCCCAAGTAGCTGGAACTACAGGAGACTGCCTCAACACCAGGCTATTTTTTGGTTGTAGTTGTCATTGTTGTGTGGCAGGCCTGGGCCAGGTTCAAACCTGCCAGCTCCGGTGTATGTGGCTGGTGCCCTAGCCACTGAGTTACAGGCGCCGAGCCACTTTCACAGAAGTTAATTCATTCCTTACAATAGATTAATAACTCTTTGGGGGCAGTTGTTCATGGAAATGAGTTCCCCAACAGCAGGGACCACATTTATGTATCCCCCAACAGACTGGAAGATATCTTCATCAGTCTAGATAAAGAAATAGGGGCCCAGAGAAGTAGAGTAACAGCTCAGTGAGGTACAAGTCCTTTGTCTCCAAACCCAGTGATCTTCGGCTTATTATTTGTGGCTACCTAGTATCTCGAACCAAACATTACCAACTTTTGTCTGTGTAGAGAGTATGGGAGAAAAAAAAGATCAAAGGTTCAGGGTAAATCCATAAAGTGGCATGTTTAATTCCAGAACTTCAGACCAAAATTTCAGATAGAGATTTTTTTCTTGGGTGTTACTTGCAAAATAAACAGCTCTTTAAGCAAAAGGGTTCCCTTCCTTGCTCTTGATGAGTGCTTGATGGTGATGTACCTAGCAGTGCTCTGAGGCCCAGAGACACTAATGACACTTGTTAATGTTGTCGGTCTTGTTTATATCTGTGGACCCACCTGTCTAGCCGCAGTTGGCACACGATGCCCAGAATGTCCACTTCCCCTCGGGCTTTCAGCTGTTGACAGCCAATTCGGGTGGCGATGAAGCAGCCAGTCCGGCCAATCCCTGCACTGAATGTAGCCAGGGAGGGGATGGGAAGGTCACATGAGCTAGGCCTCAAAGAGTGGAGAGTGAAATGGGACCTAATGGTGCTCTATCTGGGGGGCTAGGACTGTGGAGATGGAGAAAGGCAGCAATGCTTCAGATTCCAGACCCCCGGGGTCCCTGTGGGAGGCAGGCTATGACTGGCACCTTGTGCTAAGCCTCTGCAGGCCACCTGCTGGTCCCTGTGGACATTCTGATGATCTCTCTTCTGCTTAGCAGTCTAAAGCGGTTACCAGCTGACAGTCCCCCACTTGCGCACTTGCTGACCTCCTAAGCTCCGTTATCTAACCGTGACTTCCTTTCCAGCTTGGACCCATCTCCCACAGCTGCCAACGCTCAGCCCTTTTCCCACCTCAGTTCCCTCCCACAGCCATCTCTCTGCTCGCCTTTTCTTGCCCTTTTTAAATTTCACAACTCTCTCAGGCCTCCTCTTCTTCTAATAGAAGCCACGAATGACCTCCTAGCATTTGTGCCCGGGTGCTACTTGTGAGTGGGTTCGGGAGACCCCTCTGTCTGTACTTTTGCCTCTCTATTCTGTTTTATTTAGGATACACATTCCAAATGGTCTCCTGCTCTCTTGCACCATCCCCTACTCCACTCCAACCCCCTTTTCACGCGGTAGCCAAAGCACTCTTTCTAAATGGCAAATCTGAGTGTCTTAGCCAGTCCCACTGGGTCCCTCAGCATCTTGCCTTCATTTGCCTTCCAGACTCCTGTCTCATCATTACACCATATGTCAGCAGTCTGCAACCTTTTTGGCAACAGAGATGGGTTTTCATGGGAGACAATTTTTCCATGGTGGTGGCGGTGGCTTAGATTCTCATAAGGAAAGCCTTCTCACGCACAGTTTATGGCAGGGTTTGTGCTCCTATGAGGATCTAATGCTGCCGCTGATGTAATAAGAGGAAGAGCTCAGGCAGTGACACAAGCAATGGGGAGTCAAGCAGAGGAAGCTTTCCTTGCTTTTCCACCACTCACCTCCTGCTGGGCAGCCCAGTTCCTAATAGGCCATGGACTGGTATTGGTCCACAGCCTAGGGGCTGGGAACTGTACCCATAACATGACCTCCAGGCCCAATCTCTAACTCTGCTTCCAGGAATGTATCAATTTAAAAACTTATTCTCTAGGCCCTTCCATATGCTGTTCTCTCTACCTGGAACACCTCACCTTTTCTCTCCTCACTTGGCTAATTCACTTTCCAGGTCTTATCTTGGCTTGGATGTCCTTTCTCCTGTGAACTTTCTCTGGCTAAAGTCTGGGTTAGGCAACTTGGTGCTATGCTCCCCCAGCATACCCCCATCATAGCATCACATTATGTTGTATTTAATTGTTTAATCAGCTGTCTTTCCCACCAGGCTGTAGACCTGTCAGGGAAAACCAAACTCTTTTGTTCACAGCTGTTTCCTTTGCATCTAACACTGTGCCTGACAGTAATAGGCTTTCAATAAATATTTGTTGTATGAATACAAGAGTTCCCCTCTAGCAGGGATCACATTTATGTATCCCCCAGCAGACTGGGAGCTTCCTGACAATCCATCCCCTCTCTGGATTATGCCTGAGTGTCCAGCAAAGATGTCCAGGTTCTGCACAAAGGAGGTAAAAAGAGCACTTGCTGACTGATCCTGAGATTCCTGTCCAAGTAAGAATGAGGCATGCTTGATGCTGTTCTGATCAGACCCCTTCCCAGCACAGAATCAGGGGGCAGGGGAGAAGAGAACAGCATCACAGGGTGCTGTGGAGGGAGGGGTCACGCACCTGCAGTGGACCACAATGGGCCTGGTGTGAGAAGCTTCCTCTGGGGTCTCCTCCACCTCAGCCACCAAGCGCAGCAGGGGTCGAGCTGATTCTGGAGTCTGGTGGTCAGGCCAGGCAGAGAAGAGGACATGCTTTATTGATCGGCATTCTTCCTGGTACTGGGTTGGAGACAAGGCATGAGAATTAGAATCAGGCTGGGGTTGGGGATGCTGCCCACCTTCTTCTCTGGGGCCAGAGGTGGGCATAGGCTGAAATTACTCTATGGGGGAATCATTGACTCAAAGCAGGCAAGGTTGGCACTTTTCTTGCTCATCGTACTCTACTGTTTCTTTCCCCCTCCAAAATGCTGGGAAGGAACATTGCCCTGGGAGAGGAAAGATCCAAGTTCATGTCCTAGTATTTTTTTTTTTTTTAGAGACAGTCTTACTTTCTTGCCCTCGGTAGAGTGTTGTGGCATCACAGCTCACAGCAACCTCCAGCTCCTGGGCTTAGACAAATCTCCTGCCTCAGCCTCCCTAGCAGCTGGGAATACAGGCGCCTGCCACAACAACCAGCTATTTTTTGTTGCAGTTCGGCCAGGGCCAGGTTTGAACCCACCGCCCTTGGTATATGGGGCTGGTGCCCTATTCACTGAGCCACAGGTGCTGCCCCAAGTCCTAGTTTTGCCTCTAACACACACATGACTTGGACAAGGCCCATTTTATTCACCTGGAAAATGGGACAGTGATATCTAATTGGTTTACTTTCCAGGATGTTTGGTGGAGAATGGGTTAATAGAGAAATGCTTTGAAAAAATGTAAAATACCGTATAATCACAGAGAGCATTTTAAAAGCACTTTGACATGTGTCATTATGCATCTATTCCAACCTCCTCTCCCTCCTTCAGCACAACTCCTGGATCCTACCTCTCCTTCCTTGGACCATTCAGCATAGATAGACTATGGTTTCTCTTGGTTTCTATTTGGTTTGTTGGCTCTGCCCTGTTAGACTAGAGGCTCCCTGAGGATAGTCCAAGTTTCTCTCTTTCTTCTATGACTTAAAATGATATTTTAGATTTTTTTTTTCTTTTTTGAGACAGAGTCTCACTGTGTCACCCTCAGTAGAGTGCTATGGCATCACAGCTCACAGCAACCTCCAGCTCCTGGGTTTAAGCAATTCTCTTGCCTCAGCCTCCCAAGTAGCTGGGACTACAGGTGCCCACCACAATGCCCAGCTATTTTTTTGTTGCAGTTGTTTAGCTGGCCCAGGCCAGGTTTGAACCTGCCACCTTCGGTGTATGTGGCTGGTACCATAATCACTGTGCTATGGGTGCTGAGCCAGATACGGGTTTTAAAAGATTTTTATGAGTAAGCCTGTGGCTCCCAGTGAAGACTGTGCTGGAGTTCCAGAGATGCTGGGTGTGGCTCAACTTCCCCGTGGACTAGGCTCGGCCCTAGGACAGTACCTGGATGGTAAGCTGCCGCACTGTGTATTCTGGATGCTCTTTCATGTCCTGAATGCAGATGCGGAAGGGTCCATAGGTTTCCTCTTCTGTGGGCCAATAGTGGACACATTTCTAGGAGGGAGATTGAGGTTAGAAGAGGGGCAGCCTGTCATCTGGTGCAGGGCCCAGGGCAGCATAGAAGGGGGTGGTATCCCCTCCCCATGATCCACTCCCACTGTGGGGGATCAGCAAGTGGTTCCTGGCTCTCCTGAGCTTGACACCAGCAGATAAAATGTTCACCCTGTCCCACATTTTGGCTGTGAACAGCTTCCCTGGGGTGCATCTCAGGGACCTTTCTGAGAGGTGCGAGCCAGGGCTGGTTCTCAGGGAAGCCTCTGGTCCTGAGCTGCCCTGCTTGGGCATATGCACAGGGTGTGTGTGGTGAGGGGAAGGCATAGCCCTTTCTAGGTTCACCAAGGACTGTGGCTGTGCCTCCTACCTCCTTGCCCTCTCGGAGCTGAGTGAGCATGACAATGATGGATACTTCTTCTTGCCATACCATCTCCCAGAAGTCCGACACTGTGTTGGGCATGGGGCCTTGGGTTGCAATGTAGACCTTCTCTTGCCCATCATAACCCTGGAAAGGTGGAAGCACAGGAGAAGGGATGGCAAGCAGTGAAATTAGAGCTCTAGGGAGATCCCAGATTCTGCAGGTGCTGGGATCAGGCTGAAGCCAGTGAACGTAGACACGCCTGTGCATGGGCGCACACATCCAGAAGCCATGTGGTGGGAAAGATGTACATTCTGGAGTGAGGATCAGATCCCCGTTCTGCTATTTCCAAGCCGTGCCACTGGAAACTGGTTACCTAGCTTCAGTAAGCCTCAGTTTTCTCATCCGTAAATTGGGCATAATAATATCTATCTTATAGGAATTAGTGTGGATTAAATTCAATAAGGTAGATCAAGAGTTGAGCATATAGCAAGTGCTCTAAAATGTTTATTCCTTTCCTATTCTGTGGTGTTCGTCTAGCATGAAATACCAAAACAGTGTTATTTGGTATTGCTGAATGACAATTCACCTTTGCATGCTACTTATATATATTTAGTAGCAAAATGTAGCATCCTCTCTGTAACCTGTTTTTTTTTTTCCCTTTCAGGATCCTCAGGTTCCTATGCCTTAAATGATGGTGAAATCCAGACCCTTTCACCTGGTTTTGGCCAGCAAATGGAAGAATGGAAGATTGTGTCTTCCCACTGCTTCCCTAGACAACAGCTTTTCTCTTCTCTGGTCTCCTGACTGAGGTTCTGCCCACTTTGAGCCATTAGGGAGCACTGCAGCTGGAAGATATTCTCAGTCACCTTCAGACACAGCCCCACCCCCACCCTATTCCCCACACTGCCATTGCAGCCCCGCCACTCACTCGAATGTAGTTGGCATTAATGTAGTCTCCATCCTCCTGGCTCTGTTCCCGACCAAGACAGACACGGCTCTGGGGATCTAGAAAGTAAAAATTAGTGGAGATTAGAGGTCAAAATGTAACCAACTAATGCAGACTCCAGCAGCATCAGAAAGAAGAGAGTTCCTTGGCTCCGCACCTGTGGCTCAAGTGGCTAAGGCGCTTAGCCAGTGAGCTGGTGGGTTCGAATCCATCCCGGCCCGCCAAACAATGACAGTTGCAACCAAAAAAAAGCCGGGCGTTGTGGTGGGTGTCTATAGTTCTAGCTACTTGGGAAGCAGAGGCAGGAGAATCACTTGAACCCAGGAGTTGGAGGTTGCTGTGAGCTGTGATGCCACAGCACTCTAACCCAGGGTGATAGCTTGAGGCTCTGTCTCAAAAAAAGAGAGAGTTCCTGTGGTCATCACAGTACCTTGTGTATAGCAGGTAGCCTGATATCCAATGAATTATTTATATGTAGACAATAGGGAGCCATAGAATGTTATTGAGCAGGAGAATGACATGATTGAAGCAATAATCTGGGACAGTTAACTGAAGAAAGAGAATGGAGCAGCAAAGACCAAATGGGAAGATCAGTCAGGATTTAGAATAAGATTGTACCAGTAGAAATGGAACAAGAGATGTTGTAGAGAAAGAATTTTTTTCTGACAATGATTATGGGATTCAGATGAATGACCTGCCTAAGATCATGTAACAGTAAAGTGGGACTAGAACTCAGATTTCACTCAGCCACAAGGCATTATGGCCTCTCCCTCTAAGGGTGGTGGGAGGTAGTACATAGTATTTCTCCAAATCAAACCCAAACACTGATGAAGAATTTGGCTTATAAGGAAAGGAGAGGAGACTTGCTCTTCCTCTGCCAGCCTGGTTATGGACAGAGGGTGCCCCATAGAATCTCAGGCAGAAAGACTTTTCCCCTCTCAGGTGCCTGCAGGACTCATTAGAATTAGGTCAAGAACATTAATGTAATGTATTAAAGTAGGAGGGCTACTCCTCCTTACAGCTTGGATGAGTGCTAGAAGCCTCCTGATGCAGGCAGAGGGCATACCAGAAGGGTTAGTGGTGGGCAGCACCAGTGTGCTCAGCTGAGCTATAACCTCTGCTGGGAGTCACTGGAGGTGTGCTAGCCCAGTGAGGCTGCTCTGTTGGGAGAGAGGAGGGGGGGAGAGGCTCCAAGGGCCTTAAGGTCCAGAGGCTTCTTGCCTACCTCAAAAATGGACGGTGCTAGCCCTGGGTCTGTCAGCTTGTAGGGTCAACCCCTTACAGCCCAGGGTCTGTTGTCCCAACCTCTCATTGCTCTCTTGCCACTACCGGCCGGCCTTTGTCTGACTTTCTCATTGCCCTCCCTCCTGATGGTGTCTTTTCCACTGCAAACCTTTGCCGGGCGTTTCCCATATGAGAAGAAGATGAGGAAAAAGGGTTGGTGCAACTAGCTGTGCGACCATGGACAAATTATTCAACTTCTCTGTGCTTCAGTTTCCTCATTTATAAAATGGGCATACTGGTATCATAGTATCAATTTCGTGGGATCATTGTGAGAAATGAGTTGTCTAAAGGATTAGACAACTGGCCCACGGTGAACATCTGCAAATATTGTTGTTGTTGCTGTTGCTGTGGTTACTGCCTCTTCTTCCCCTAGCTAGGTATGGTCTGGGCTTTCTCAGCTAAAAGGAGAGGCTAAAAGTAAGGCAGTCCTTCCCGGGGGAGGCTGTGCATCCTGCCTCCTGAAGTTCTCCAGCCCCAGCGCAGTATTCACCTCCCTCCATCCCACCTGCAGTCCTTACTTGGCAAGATGGTCTTATATCGGTCCTTGGAGGCATGGCCAGGGATATCCAGGTCTTCAGGGCTGACAAAATTTGAAGGAATCTTCTGGCAGGGGGAGGAAAGGAGTGAACAGTTGGTACCCTTTCCAGCCTCCTCTTTTCCTCTCTACCCTTTTCTACTACCGTTGGGCCCTGGCCATTCTTTCTTGGCATTAGTGTGCAGCTCCAGAAGGGGTGGAGGTAGACGGGAAAGCCTGGGGGTGACCCTGTCCCCGGGCTCTGGAGTTCTCTTTCCTAAAGAGCCCATGGTGACCATGACAGAATGGGTATAGCTGGCTGCCTCTGATGCAGTGAGGTAGAGTGACTCCATGGGGGCCCCCAAGTTCTTACCAAGAATTCTTCCTCTAGCTGCTTGGGGCTGGGTGGCTGGTGTTGCAGAGCCCAGCGGGTAAGGGGGTGTCCAGCTGTGCGTAGAAAGTGCAGAGTGACCTCCCGGGGTGTGTTCACTGAGCAGATGGGCTCCACGGCTCCCAAGGATCGCACGTCCAGCATCAGAGCCACATTGGAGCCCCGCCTGCAGACACAGCCACCCAGTGCCTAGTGAGCCCCCAGTGTTTGCTTTTCTGACAAGTATTATTATTATAAGGCACATCTGGGGAGTCCACTCCTTGTCTTTGCCTTGACTTGAAGGCCCAGGGAATTTGCAGGTTCAGGCCCTGCTGTATGATCTTATCCTTCTGTCACTCTGTACAGGGCCTTGAACCCAGCTGCTCTTTCTAAGGCTGTCCACCTCTTCCCATTCCCGGCCAGGCCCTGAGGCTCCAACCTGCCTCCAGTAACAAGAAGGCTGCTGGCCTCGCCCCAGGAACTGCTCAGGCTAATCCAAGATTTAGGGAGCAGGCTCAGGGCTAACATGAAACTTTGTGGCTCAGACGTGCAAAGGACATGCAAATGAGCACTATTGGTTTCCTTTCCCAATTGGAGTCAACAACTGAGGGCCCTCTGGGCTCAACTCTCAGACCTGAAGGTACAGATGGAGGGAAGGGAGTAACTGAACG